TGAATATATATATGCGTGCATATATGCACGCATATATGAATATATATATGCGTGCATATATGCATATATATATGCATGCATATATGTGTGTGTCTATATATATTTATAAACTGTATATTATTTTCCATCATTCAATGGACAATTTGTACTTTTTTTATATGTAGGCTACCATCAAACATATGTTCATATATAAAGTGGGTAACTATACAAAACGAAGTGAGATAACTGTTTATGAATATCTGTTCAATTTTATGTAAACTCATGAAAGATAAATGAGTGTTTCAATAAAACTATTACATATAAATGTATAGTGCAGTTTTTGTTTTCATTGCAATATATTTTTTTTATATGTATCAATATATAGCCATACATGGTCCATGCATATATTGCAATATATTTAAAAATATAAGGACTACTTTCCCATATATGGAAATGTATGATCCAATATATTGTATTATATTTACCAATATATTACAATATATTTTTGTTTCATAAGGGACAACAAAATGCCTGCGTTTTATCCAGTTTGTACACAACGATGGAAGACCTCAAAACACTGAATAAGCAGCAGTGGTCCACTGAAGAGACCAGCTACCTAGTGGCAATCTGGTCTTCCGAAGAGGTACAAAGGAAGCTGGAGGGGAGCATGCGGGCCAAAGCCATTCTGCAGCAATTGAAGCGAGAGATGGCGTCCGCTGGTTATGACCGTAGCATGTTACAAATTAGCAACAAATTAAAAAAACTGAAGAAGGATTATCGGGACCAAAAGAAAGAGCTCGGACGGAGTGGCAGCGGTCGTACGAAAACAAGTCCACATTTTGACTTGCTAAACTCGGTCCTCGGAGACAGACCGACGAGTGGTGTGGGATGCACCGTGAATTCGCTTTCTCTCTCGTCAATTGGGTTGGAGGACGAGTCATTTAATGCTGGTGAGTTATGCATTACTGATTTGTGTTATTTGTGCCTTTTTGTTTTACAACATAAACTAAACCATGTAGCTATAGACAGACCTGGCAATAATAGCTAAAGTTTACCTACTACAGCTACCGGGTGGGCACCCATGCGCTAGCATGCTAATGCTAACAATAATAAACAAAGGTATCCCCATGGCAAAGACAGCGAACGCCTCCAATGTATCTTCTTTCTTCTCACTAACGATGTATGATTTGTTGAAGGGCTACTTTTGTTCATTGTGTTTATATTGTGTTTACAGGCATATCTCGTTTGGAGTGCAGTGAGTCGGAACCACCACCACCGTCGGCGTGTAGCTCGCCTGTGCACATGCTTGGGTCTCTTGCCACAACAAGCAGCTCTTCCCAGGAATCTCTGGTGACCCTAACCCAGCCAGTGGGCCGTAACAAACAGGGTAAGGTTTACAGTGTTCATAATGGTAATACTGTTCCCTGTTGCCATTTATCATGGCATTGTCATTGTAGTAGTTGTTGAAGTTATGCAACTGCAGCCATAATAACAATAAAACATTTCATTACACAGTATATAATTTACACCTCATAGAATGCCATGAACACGGTGTTGACCTCATTATTATTTTTCCCTTTGTAGTTAAAAGGAAGCGGGATTCGTCATCTGGCCTTGTCCCGTTAATGGAGAGGAGTGAAGCCAGGGACGAAGAGCTACTGGAGCATAGCCGGGCGATGCTTCAGGAGGTGCAGAACGGCAATGCTGAGTTCCTACGGATCTTCAACGTCACAGAGCAGAGCAGAATCGAGCAGAGCCGGATCGACGGACTCGCCAGAATCGCAAAGGCCGAGCAGGACAGCCACATGCTTGGCTTGTTAGACAGGATGGTGAAGGTGATGGAGGCCAACAGCAAACAATGACATTATTGTTGTATCTCCATTGTTCATGCCCCTTTTGTGTACATAATTTTTAAATACACTTAGTTATATAATATATACAGTATGTTCTCCACACTTTTTTGTGAATACTTGTATACATTCTTTTTTAAATACACTTAGTTATAGTATATACAGTATGTTCTCCACACTTTTTTGTGAATACTTTGTATACATTATTTTTTAAATACTCTATTATACAATATACAGTACAAATATTGTCCATACTTCTGATTCTTTGATTTGTATGTACAATAAACATAAGTCAAAAGTCATGTCTTATTACATTTAATTTTTTCAGTGATCCACTGCAAACTAGCTAATGTCACTATGATAAAACACTGAACTAAAACAGTGGTAGATGACAAGTATGACTACTTGTATGCTAAGTCTGATTCTGCCATGCATTCTTTAAACAAAATGATGCTAAATGGAATCGTTACCTGTGTTATCTAAAATAAATGTGTCATTGTCAAGCTGGAGCAAGGCACACCATTTATTTTATTCCTATTTCTCTTTAGAAAGAAGTTAGGATATAAAATACTGACATAAATCTAAGTGAAGGAAACAAACTCAAATGTACTGTGCCCTTACCCAGCACAAATGTAATGACATAAAGCTGAGGTTAGCACTAAATTGTTCATAACACATCCAAAGAGAGGGCGACCAATCCCTGATGAATGTTGAGCACAGCTGTATCTGCACAGCAGCTCAGGTGACTGCACACACTCACACACATTTTATTTTTATTTTGATACGCTTTGGGTATTGCAATTTCACACGTTTACAAAAGTAGCTTAATAAATGTAGCTCTCAGGTGAAGAAAGGTTGGAGACCCCTGGTCTAAACCTTTTGGGTATGCACTATTTTTATAAGAATATTGTTCATACATTCTTTGATTTGTATGTAAAATAAACATGTCAAGTCTTATAACATTTTATTTTTCTCTTGGACATTTATGTGAATTTTCAGTGATGTACTTACTGTATGTGGGCCATAATAATGTGAGAAATTGTCATTGTCTTTGACCTTAATGAGAAGTATTGATTTTTGATAAGCTTTGGGGATTGCAATTTCACATGTTTACAAAAGTAGCTTAATTCAACCTATGACTCCTATGTCAATAAATGTAGCTCTCAGGTGAAGAAAGGTTGGAGACCCCTGGTCTAAACCTTTTGGGTATGCACTATTTTTATAAGAATATTGTTCATACCTGTTTACATTCTGTGATTTGTATACAAAAGAAAACACAATTCAAGTCTGATCCAGTGATTTTATTGTAAGAGGCATGATACAAAATAGATCAGGTTTAACTGCAGTAATATTAGTGGTCCCCCATGTTGAAATACTCCATCAATGCAGATCTAACGTCAGCTCCTTCTTGTCTACCGTTCTCTGGAAAGGGGTGTAAAGGGGGTTGGTTGTACACAACTTCATGGCAATATTCAGTCGTCCCTTGAAAAGTCGTCCGATGCCTTCCATTTCGTCTCGTAAGAGGATAACCACAGCGAACAGCGCTTCAATACAATCGGCCATTGTTGTTGTGATTTCCGCACGGTTTGGGTTTTAGGAAGCAGGCACGTAAACGGTTACGTCATGACGCAAACGATGAGGCAATGACGCAGTACCATCCCGGCTCTTGAGCGGTGTGAACAGAGCGGGAGCTGAAAAGGGAAACGGGAGCTGAACCAGAAAAGCTCTCGCGAGGAGCTAGAAAGTGAAAAGCGCCGGTGTGAAAGCCGCATGAGGTGCACCTGTAGAAGGTCAGGATCCTCTCTATGGTGCACCTGTAGAAGGTCAGGATCCTCTCTATGGTGCACCTGTAGAAGGTCAGGACCCTCTCTATAGTGCACCTGTAGAAGGTCAGGACCCTCTCTATGGTGCACCTGTAGAAGGTCAGGATCCTCTCTATGGTGCACCTGTAGAAGGTCAGGATGCTCTCTATGGTGCACCTGTAGAAGGTCAGGATCCTCTCTATGGTGCACCTGTAGAAGGTCAGGATCCTCTCTATGGTGCACCTGTAGAAGGTCAGGCTCCTCTCTATGGTGCACCTGTAGAAGGTCAGGATGCTCTCTATGGTGCACCTGTAGAAGGTCAGGATCCTCTCTATGGTGCACCTGTAGAAGGTCAGGATCCTCTCTATGGTGCACCTGTAGAAGGTCAGGATCCTCTCTATGGTGCACCTGTAGAAGGTCAGGATGCTCTCTATGGTGCACCTGTAGAAGGTCAGGACCCTCTCTATGGTGCACCTGTAGAAGGTCAGGACCCTCTCTATGGTGCACCTGTAGAAGGTCAGGATGCTCTCTATGGTGCACCTGTAGAAGGTCAGGATCCTCTCTATGGTGCACCTGTAGAAGGTCAGGATCCTCTCTATGGTGCACCTGTAGAAGGTCAGGATCCTCTCTATGGTGCACCTGTAGAAGGTCAGGATGCTCTCTATGGTCCACCTGTAGAAGGTCAGGATGCTCTCTATGGAGCACCTGTAGAAGGTCAGGATCCTCTCTATGGTGCACCTGTAGAAGGTCAGGATCCTCTCTATGGTGCACCTGTAGAAGGTCAGGATGCTCTCTATGGTGCACCTGTAGAAGGTCAGGATGCTCTCTATGGTGCACCTGTAGAAGGTCAGGATCCTCTCTATGGTGCACCTGTAGAAGGTCAGAAGTGCTCAAATCGCTTAACATTACATATATCAGACATGTAATACATCATTACTGCAGACAATACCCAAGGGAGCAATTTAGGGTAAAGTGTCTTGCCCAAGGACACAACGGCATGTTGACTGCAGTGGCGGTCAGGGCGGGATTGAACTGGTGATCAGGCCGATGGCGGTGGTGTCAGCTAACTTGATGATGGTGTCGGAGCTGTGTGGATTAACCCTTTCTAAAGGATCTGTACACATCTTCCCTGTTTAAAACAAGAGGGCAGGGACTTGTCCAGCGCTGTATAGTCCTCGTCACCAGCCTGTCCGTTTGAACTTCTGCCTTTAAGCAGGCAGCAGAAGTGAGATGTGGAATGACTTGCGAAAGGGGTGGCGGTTGAGGGTCTTGTATCCACTCCGAAAAGGGGAATAAACATGTTTGGAAGTGTCTGTCGACAGTATAGTACAGTACTCTATCTGACCTAGTAACAACTCGTTGGGCTGTGCAATATTGAACAAGTTATTTAATGCTTCAGAAAGCAGGCACAACATATAAATATGACACACATTTAAAACATGTTAAGGCACCAGGTAAAAGTCCTGTTGTCTGTGGTACAATATAGTCATTAGTGCTTACCGGCATAGCATAATTGTGACATCAAATAAGATTCACTCACAACTAGCATCTCTATACTAGCTTTTCACTTGTAACATCATTTCGTAAGCTTGTTCAAATACATCATTTGAATTACAGTCTTCCATGATAATAGAAACATTAACCGACTTAAAAAAATATTGCATGTTCAAATAATGCATGCAAATGTATTTCTCCTTTGTTGTCTTTAAGAAATAACACTTTGTAAAACATGACTGCAGTTTATGAGCAGGGAGTGCTACAGAGGAAGAAGCTTCTCATCATGGAGCAAAAAAAACAACTCTTATTTTGTTCAGGTGAGACTTTTAGCTTCAATTATCCCAAAAACATTTTTTAAAACTCTTTAAACACTTTCAAGTGCAAATCTTACTCTATGCTGTGCTTTTTATTGCAAGAAGCAGTGCGTTTTCTGTCCGTAAATAAGAAGCTTCATTCAGAGACTTCTCCATCGTGGTGCGTTTCTGGAGGAGCGTCGAGCAGCTCAAACATGTCATCAATGACCTGCCACAGGCAGCTCTCCAGAGGAAAGTCATTGTCCACCAGATTTACCAGGAAGTAGTTGTCGTGGATATACTTGATGATCATTCGTGAAGGAGACTCATCCTCGTAGAGGTTGGCCCACTGCTCGATCCACAAAGCAAAGGCCTCGTCCTATGGAGACATGGGGAGAGGATTGTCGTTAGGCCTAAAACCTGTGAGTGTTCTAAAACCCCTTTTACACTCAAATTAGTTCTGTGCTGGTGCTAGTTTGATGCTTTGTTGCACCAGCGACAGGATCCTGACCCTCTACAGGTGCACCTGTCTTGCGAACAACTTAAAAAAAAGTGTAATCTTCTTTTTGGCTTCCACCTACCAAATCCCCTGTAGAAGCCAGGTCATGATGTCACCGTTTACCTTTGTGCAATGCCAACGTGTATAGCCCTCACAACAACATCTTGCTCTTAGTCTTTGAATTGTATAACGACTTTCTCCATAGTGAGGTGGTTACTTCTTTGCCATTATAATTCCGCTGCCATAGCCGACCGCTGGAGTGGTACGTCTCATCTCTCAACACCCATATGAAACAGAACTGTAAACAGATTTTCTATTTCTTTATGGATATTTTACAAATCACTCCCCTTTTAAACGGTATACTTGTTTTACTGTCATATTGTATTTCATAGCCTACCTGTTTTTCATTTATTCTCTTATACCTATAATGATCATATACACGTGTGCCTCGGAAATACTCGACATTGAGAAATGGCCCGTGGCCGCTGGAAAGTAGTAATCCACCGTCTGACTGTAACAACAGTAACATCCCTGATGCTAATTTCCCCATCATTGAATCGTTTTTTCAGTTTTATTGTTTGGCTTCATAGTGTCAATGAGTAAACATTTGAATGAGTAGGCACTTGTTGCCATTGTGGCAAGTTCTATTTTACAGGCATATTTAACCAGCGTATCCGTCACTATGATCCATCTGTGATCGAACTTGTGATTGTATTTATTACACCTGGTAGTTGGTATTAAAAAACAACAAAAGTCACATGGTAAATGTTGCATGACGTTTATATAACGAGTATGGTCGAGTTGCCACTTTGCGTTTTTGGCACTACCGCTTCTGTAACAGCTTTCTACTCTCCGCTGTACTCGTCATGAACTGTTATTGCTCAGGTTAATCTGCTCAGACGGCAGCCTCAATTTGTGACATACGCGGTTCAATGTTTTTGGTTCTGGCAGAGAAGCTTGGGACTGAAGTTGAACACGTTTTTTGCAGGCGCTGCAGTGAAAACACAAAACAGGGTCGCCGCAAAGGCCCTGAAACCATCTTTAAGGGGTAAACACACGTTGTGTTAAAGAGACTGTTTGGATATTTTGAAGTGTGCTTGTATGAACATCTGCTCTCTGTCAGTGTTTTACCCTACATTAGAGACAACTCCGAGAAACAGTTAGAAGCATTAGTAAAACTAGAAGAGCCCACTGTCTGCCAGGAGAGGAGAGGCTATCTCCATGCAGAGCTGCTGGACAGACCAGAAGCAGTGTGTGCAAACTGCTCTATATACACTACTATTATACTGTAGACTGCAAAAATATGTTATTGCGCCGGGTTGATTCTGTCAGACAGCTGAGTCACATAAGACATTTTATTTGGTATTAACACTTTTTATTAGTGGTTTGTCAGTATGCCAGGGTCTTGTGATGCCAACCCTAAAGAACATACTAAAGGGAAGTAAATAAAGACAGGTTTTGGTTCATGGCTACTTTGAGTTTCAAGGTCTACACATGTTTTAGTACCTCAAGTTTGTCATCCGTAAATATGTATTTTTCCAAATGTTAATCTATTGCAGTTCCATTTTTTACACAAATGCACACCTTCATCATAAGGTGATGAAGGTGTGCATTAGTCAGGGTCCACTACAGTGGGCTGGACAACGTAACAATGAGGTCACTTCCTATCTCCACAACGTTTTTAAAAGCCCTTGTTTTTGGTCAATGCATCGCACCTTAATCTTGTATCATTTTTCACTGGAAGAAAACAAGCAAATAGCAGAATGCTAATCATTCCTGAATCCCTGCACAACTCTATCTTACCTTCCAAAACATAAAGCTGACTGGGTCCACTACAGTGGGCTGGACAATCTCCCTTCCAGGAAAGATGCCCCATGTCACGGCGTTAGGCTGCATGTCAGGGGCGTTGGTCAGGTTACGGCCCTTCAAACAACATATTCATTGGGACATATTAATAATGCATATTCAGACACAAAACATGGAGTTAAAAGGTGCTCAGTAAAAACGTACGTGCACATTAACGATGTGGTAGTTGACACGGGGCTCATACTTTTTCAGTACTTTGAGGAGAGCAGTCACATTTTCACTAGAAGTGAAGAACTCCAGATAGGCCTGTTTGATGTAAAACAAGAGGACTGAGGCAGCATATCAACTTGTCGGACAAAAACACCCGATTCGCCAACCTGTCCATCCAGAAGGCACAATCAAGAAGAAAGAAGAGGTCCTACCTTCTGAAAGACATAGCCTCCTGCAGGTCCCCAGCCTGCTACAGGGTCTGTGGAGGGTTTGCCGTTTATGTTGGGCTGGGAGTTGATGGTGAGGACTCCTCGTCTGTTCACTTTCTCCAGCTCGTCCTTCAGCAGGTTGGTTTCTGGGGCCAGAGGCTCATCATTCCATGGCAAACACTTCACCTAGCAGGAGAGAAAACAAACATGGTGTATTTGTTGACAGTTAATGCTTCAAAGCTATGGGCTAACAGTTGGGAGAGTTCAACAGATTAGGATTGTATTATTTTCTCCAGAGTGAAAACAGATATCAGCCCTATGTCTGTGCATCAAGTACAGAGCATGAGTCAGGACATGGTAAACCCAGTTTAGGATGAAGACGTTTAACCCATCTTTATCAAAGAGCTACATTAGGGGATGATTATCTCTTGCATATCTCCAAATTGCTTTCCAACTAATTACGCCGGGCATCATCATCTCTTCAAATCACCAGATCCAAACATATTCAAGTGAAAATACTGAACCTTTGGAAATAAATAATGAATGTATAGAGTGTTATTCTTCACACTCATCAAAACCAAGATTCGGACAAACACAGACTGAAGGCCAAGAAAAGTGTCTTAGGTCGCATTCACACCAGCCTTGTTTAGTCCGGTTGAATCGAACCCTGGTGCGTTTAACCGCTTGGTGCGGTTTGTTTGGGTCGGTGTGAACACAGTCCGAGACCTCTGAAGTGAACTAAACAACCGGACTCTGGTCCACTTAAAGAGGTGGTCTCGGACCGCTTGCTAGTGAACTCTGGAGCAGTTAATCGCTGGTATGAACGCAGTCCGCACCAAAACATAGGAAGCGTAGTATTTATGCGTCACAAGAACGCGGAGGTCTTCAAATCTTTAGTGAAAGAGTGAAGCAGAATGAAGTGTTGAACAGTGTCATGTAAAGTAAAAATGCTCCGTCAACTATACATAAAAGTCAGAGCCACCTGTTGTCGGTGACTGTAGAACGTCTCTCTTTATATGTGTTATAATGTTTTTTATCTCACTTTGTCTGATGGTATAATCATATGTGCCGGCCACTAGAGTCTGTTGATATGCTCTCCAGATTAACAGCAGCATGAAAATAACCTGCCGATGCTCCATGGTGGAGGCTACGGTAGAAATTGCCCGGATTTGCGTTTTTACCCCCTTAATGTCTGACCAATTGTTGAACCGCATTTCCGTGCACATGACTTGTGTTTACAGTTTATAGTTCGTTTGAGTTTTGCCCGTGTGAACGCAAACCGAACCTTCTGAAAAATGAAACAATGTAACAAACTGTCGTCTGGTGCGCACCAAAGAAGCGGACTATTAGGTGTGAATGCGACCTTAGGCTAGCGAAATTGTCTGGAAGTGGACAGTGTCAAGGCAGAGCTGCAAATTTGTGTCGACTTCACATTTGAGTGCACAGACATGTACCAGAGATTCCTTACAAACAAAAAACTCTTGAAAGCAGCCAGGAAAGGGCAAAAGTATCAAAAATAGACTAGTCTATTGTGTTTTGAGTTTGAAGGATTCAGTGAAGCCAGGATAAAAACTAAAAGATAATCCCAAAGTGTCTCCTTTTTGGTGTTATGGAAATGGCCACCCTAGTTCAGACACCAGCAGACACACTCAAACGGACTCGTGTGCCTGACTGTACCATAATGCTTTCATGATTCTGTTTAGATATGCAAGTATAAGACATGATAGCTTATTTTATTAACACGCTAATTTGATATAAAATCAATTAATACTTCTCTTTGTAGGAAAACCTACCGTCCATGACTGCCCCTGAGCTGTTTTATTTGTCATACAAATGTTGAGCTTTGGCTTCTCTTCTATGCATTGCAAAATGCTACACATAGGCTACTCATATTAAGTATCAGATTTGAGCTCTCTTGCTATTCATTTCCAATTCAAATTATTTTTTAATGTTGAATTAATGGCACAATTAAAAAAAAAATCTATATGGAGACCTTTTCATAGTTAACTTCATATTTTTCATTTCCTAAAACAATTATTTGCCTCATATTAACAGTGTGGATCATTGAGACAGCGTGGTGTCCAGGTCTTCTCCCGTTTCCCACTTCCTGTGAGGGGACAGCATCAGATCCACTGAGGGGGCATGAAGAAAGACCTGCACCAGCTTCATAACGTAGCTGTTATCACTGGCTCAGTGTCATTTCATTTGACCACATGTCTTTACATATACTTTTAATAGATTTTATTATTATCCACCTTTTTGTTTTATGTCCTTTTATTTAAAACATTCTTTGAGACTTCATCTTCTGGTTCAAATTTCAATAAATGTAATTTGTATAATCACTCTTGTTTTTATTCTACATGAAAATGTTAGAGATTCCATTCAAATCTGTTGATTATTCATATCTTCCTCAGGCTTGGAATAGTATGTCGAGTTTTTAATGCTAAATGTATATCATTTTCTCACAGGATATAGAATGAGACAACACAGTTTTTATCCATTGTGTATGAATAAATGCTTCAGCATTGAGAAAGAGGGAGGGAGAGAGAGAGAGAGAATTTGTGTGTGTGAGTGTTAAAGGGTTTTCCTTCATCCTGTGTGTGTGTTTGTCTACAAAGGTGGTTCCTGGTTAGTTTGTTTTTTGTTTGTGGCTTAGACCTATATACCGTAAAGTTTATATTATGATGTTTTACATTATGTTCTTACTATGTTACTGAAATTATTTTGTTACAGCAGCAGTGTGTTCAGGTATTAAAATATTTAAAGTTGGAATAAAGTATAAACTACACAACACAAATATAATGCACAGCAATCCATAAGACAAGTCCGATATTTTCATGAAAACTCCCCAGGAAGCCCCAACACCAGGAGGCGCACGCTCGTGAACTGTTAGCACCGTGTTATGCATGCCCACTGCACCTCGCGGGAGCGCACACAGCGTAAAGCCAAAACTCATAGACATTTCAATGATTTGTTCGGCAAAGTTAGGTTTGGAAACGGTATCATTTTCTTTTTGGCGGGCATGCATTACACGGCATAACACCGGAGCCTCGCTGCGGGGAAACTTTGGTGCTATTCCGAGTTTGTTCTAATCTGTCAAAATGACGGACTGCTTTCAGATTTTTTCGTCATTGTTAAAAAAACTTCGTCATAGATGTATTCATGTATTAATCTTAGTTGATATATTTGTTGAAACGTAGCTGTAGCTCCTCTACATTGCTTTTATCCTGTAATTTTATACTAATTTGTCTATTGAACTGCTGTGAAGCGAGTTTGGCTACAATTCTTGTATAAAAGGTGCTATACAAATATAAAGCGTATTACTAATATTATTATTATTATTGTAAATTACCTTTAATATGTCTAACTATATTTAACAGGTGTTACCTTTAAGGGAAGTGTTTATATTTGTATGCCAATATTTTCCTATGGTAAAGTTTTCGTTTTGCACTTTTATTTTGATAGTAAAAAGATCGGGACTCTTATTTTGAAGGAACTTTTACCGGAAGTTAATGGGCAACGGAGCAGTGTAAACACTTGACACGCATGTATAATGACGGATAGATGACGAATAAATTAACATATACTAAATAGTTGGGTTTTTAGCACCTGGCTGATAAGGGCACAAGCTCTTAAGGCCCTGACACACTAGGCAGTCACCAGAGAACTCGCCGACACCGACATCGACTGTTGCATCGGCGAGTTCTCCTGCGTCTTGGCCATGTGTCGCACTGGAACACACCGCAAAGACTTCAGCCGAGCACGTACGAACTGCGCATGCGTGAGTGGCAATAACTCTCCTCACCAGCAGGCGGCGGTAGTGTGTATTCGTCATTCAAAATAGGCAACAACCGGAAGACAGAGAAGAAGAACAGACTGTGAATGATGAAATGAGCACATAAAGTGCTGACATACTATAAAATCACAGTTAATAGACCTGCATCTGATGATCGCAGTGTTCTGGCGGGTGTGTAGTTTATTGAGTCAGCAATGTAGTAATGTATGTAATGTAATAATGGCCACTTCTTGCTAAATTTACATTTCCATGTGATGCTTTTATCCGAGGCGACTCACAATAGGTAAATGAACAGCAGGTTTTACCTTAAATTGTCCTTGGGCAGACACACACACCGTTAATATTGGGTATTTTATTGGGTTCGGGATTCCTATGGATGACTGCCCAGGAGAGAGCGCAGAGAAGCGTGTAAGACTGCGACTCCGCCTCCTGGTCTCAACTCCAGTTTGTCATGGATTACGTCCACAAAGCCCTGAAATGTTTGCCGAAATGAGATTTGCACCTTCCAAAGTAGGATGAATGCCGTCTCTCTTAATCAGACCAGGTTTTCCCCAGAAGGCTGTCCAATTATTTACGAAGCCCACATCGTTTGCTGGGCACCACCAAGACAACCAGCGCTGAAATGATGACATGCGGCTATACATGTCGTCATTGATCAGATTGAGAAAATTAAGGTGTCCGACATTGTTTTAGCATAACTACACACCGACGCCACATTAACTTTGGTGCATTCTGATTGGCGTAAACTAACATCATTACCACCGACGTGAATAATAATCCGGCCCATCGGGATTCGTCCCGAACGTCCCGATGGCCAGTCCGCCACTGGTGTCAACCATGTAAATATTCCACTTTTCCCATTTCCTATTGAATGCATTCTCTTGGATTCTCAAAACATGTCAACTTTTCCATGATAAAAATATCTTGAACAATTTCCAGCCACAGCTCCTGAGTCGGAGCGTTCACATTAAGCCAATTTCTGGTTATAGCTTTCTTACTCGCTGCAAGTACAACCTTAATCAAATATAGATCGCCTCCCATCACAACATCCTTAATGTTCCCAAGATACATCACCGGGCAGGTATTTGGGATTCCATAACCCAAAATAATTTTGACAACTGCATTAACCTTCTCCCAATATGACCTTATCTTTGTACAGTTCCAGAAAATGTGTGAGTGGTTAGCCTCCATGTTCCCACACAACCTCCAACACTGTTGCTGTACACCAAGTTGCCTGCTCTTTATTTTGGGTGTTATGAAAAAGCGAGTCAGGTTCTTCCAGCAGAATTCCCTCCATACTAATGAGTTTGTGGATGTAAATTGCGTCTCGAATATTTGAAACCATTCTTCCTCTGACATTTTAATTTGTAACTCTGCTTCCTATTTTGCT